ATTGCCCCAGGGTTGCCACGTTGCCCTAGGGTTGCCATGCTTCTCACTGGGAAGAGACTGCAGCCAAGCCAAGGGCAGGTGCTGCATTCCCTGTTGGGACAGGCATGGCTGTGCTCACTCCTGATGACTGTACTTTTCCCTTTCCTCCAGATATTACCACATTCCCATCGGGAACCTCCCTGATGACATCTCCACCTTTGGCTCTGACCTGTTCTTCTCACGGCACCTCCGTCGTCACAACCATTTGCTGTGGCTGTCACCCACAGCCCGCCCAGACCTGGGGGGGAAGGAGGCTGATGACAACCGCCTCGTCATGGAGTTTGATGAGAGAGCCTCGGTGGAGATAAACAACCCTGGCTGCTATTCCACGGGTGAGGAGGGCAGAATCAGGTGTGCTGCTCTGTGTGCACTGCACGGGGCTGGATGCAGTAGCTCTGAGCTGGCAGTAGTGCCTTCCAGCTTTGATGGTTTGGCAGTGATTTGGGCAAGGTGTGGTGGGCATGATCCAGGATGGGAGGTCCTGTGTGCAGTGGGAAAATGTATACGGGTATCCAAGTCTAGATCCGTTCCTAATTTATGGACACCAATAGCAGCAGTAGTAAGAGTCTGGGATGAGGATGCCCTGCCTGCCTGCTGAGAGGTTTTGCTTCTTCGTAGTGTGTCTGGAGCTGGATATCCAGAGCCTGGCTGTGAACACAGTGCTGCAGTCCCACCATGTAAATGATATGGAAGGAGGTTCCAGCATGAGCATCAGCTTTGACGTAATTCAGCAGGCATCCTTGGAAGATATGGTGACAGGGAACCAAGCTGCCAACATCCCAGCCAGCTATGATGAAACCGCCCTCTGCTCCAACACATTCAGGTAGGGCTGGAGGAGCTGGAGGCTTACACAGACATTTATTTACACTGTGGCAGAGGGTCTGAGAGTCATCCTGCATATCTCTGAAAGGGTGTCCTTTTCTGGAAAGAGGAAGGGATTGTGGCCAGTGGGGTGATGTTCCTCTGTGCTCCCTGGCAGGATTCTGAAGAGCATGGTGGTGAGCTGGGTGAAGGAGATCACACAGTACCACAACATCTATGCAGACAACCAGGTCATTCACTTTTACCGTTGGCTTCGCTCTCCTTCCTCTCTGCTCTACGACCCGGCGCTGCACCGCACGCTGCACAACATGATGAAGAAGCTTTTCCTGCAGTAAGTGAGAACAGAAGCTTGCCAGACCCTGAGAAAGAGGGGACAGGCATAGCATGGCATTTGTGACCGAGATGCTGTTGGCACTCCCAACCAGTTCCTTCTGATGCATCTTGTTGCACAGGGCTGCAGATGGGCAGTGAGTCAGAGCCACTGTGCTGTTTGCTGCTAACGGGGAGCTGGATGGCAGCAGTTCTTCCTGCGTGCTGAATGCAGCTCCTGTGCTCTGCCTGCAGGTTGGTGGCTGAGTTCAGACGCCTCGGCTCTTCGGTGGTGTACGCCAACTTCAACCGGATCATTCTGTGCACCAAGAAGCGGCGCATCGAGGATGCCATCAGCTACATGGAGTACATTATCAACAGGTGGGCAGCACCTGGCTTCCCAGAACTCTTGTAGGATTCAATCCAGAAGGGACCTTTAGGAGAATGGGGACGGTTGCCCAGTTGCTAACACCACTCCATCTCAAGGAGAAGGCTGTTAATTAGGGCAGATGCTGATGTCATGGGTGACTGCGGTCTCTTCCCTCCAGCATCCACTCAAAGGAGATCTTCCACTCTCTGACTATTTCCTTCTCCCGTTGCTGGGAGTTCCTGCTCTGGATGGATCCAGCCAATTATGGAGGTATCAAGGGAAAAGTGCATTCTCGCATCCACTGCGGGGAGGTAAGGGAGAGGAAGCACTCAGTCCCCAAGGAGCTGAGCGGAGGCTGGGGTTGAGCTTACTGTGGAGGCATCATCTGGCTCCGAGGAGCTCTGTAACATCACTGTCTCATTGTGTGCTGTTCCAGACAGATAGCAGCAAGAAGCAAGCACTAGAGGAGGGAGACAGTGAAGAAGAGGAGGAGGCAGGGGAGGAAGATGAGGAAGATGAGTCCAACGTGGAGGAGCTGCTGGAGAACAGTTGGAACATCGTGCAGTTCTTGCCACAAGCTGCCTCCTGCCAGAACTATTTCCTGATGATTGTGTCAGGTGAGTAGGGCCTGGCAGTTGATCCCAAGAGCCCTGCAACGAGGCAGCTGCTGCTGCCCCAACACGGGCTGTTCCTATTGGTGTCCCTGCAGCCTACATCGTGGCTGTGTACCACAGCATGAAGGAGGAGCTGCGGCGCAATGCTCCTGGCAGCACTCCTGTCAAGAGAAGAGGCACCAGCCAGGTGACCCAGGAGGCACAGAACGAGACAGGAGCCATGCCTGGTGAGTGCCCAGCATGGGCTTTTGGGGCTGGCACTGCTGCAGCCCGGGAGAAGGCAGGGAGCCTCCCACCTGGCCAGCCACACCTGCACTGCATGCACTCACAGCTCTCCACTTGGTCTTCCTAGGCATGATCACCTTCTCACAGGATTACGTGGCCAATGAGCTCACTCAGAGCTTCTTCACCATCACGCAAAAGATCCAGAAGAAGATGTCTGGCTCCCGACACACCACTGAGCCATCAGACTTGTTCCCGGTGTTGCCTGGTTCCTACTTGCCACTCAACAACCCTGCTCTGGAGTTCATCAAATATGTTTGCCAGGTCAGCCGGGTGGGCTGGGCTGCTTCTCTGAGGGTTTGTGCTCAGGGCTCAAACTCCACAGTCCATTGGCTCTGATGTGCCATGGTTTTCTTCCAGAAGCGCACTGCAGACCTGCAGCCACTTTGTTTTGCCCTGCCCTGCTCTCATCCATGTGAGGTGTGAGTTGTCCTCAGGAGGGCTGGTGGGCTCAGCAGGCTGTCTCTTGCAGGTGCTGTCCCTGGATGCCAATGTCACCAACCAGGTGAACAAGCTGCGCAGGGACCTGCTGCGTCTCATCGAGGTGGGAGAGTTCTCAGATGAAGCCCAGTTTCGGGACCCTTGCCGCTCCTATGTGCTCCCTGAGGTCATCTGCAGAAACTGCAACTTCTGCAGGGACCTGGACCTGTGCAAGGACCCAGCCCTCTCCCAGGTACAGCCATGGACACGGAGGCTTTAGCATGGCTTTGCTCTATGCCTGTCAATCCCCTCTTCCTCCCTCATGCTCTTCGCTTGGCTCTGTGCAGCTCAGTCTCCCCTGAAGCCCATTTCTATGCACCCCCTTTTCCAGCTCTCTATGAGAAGTCCCAGTGCTGTGTGCTCCATTCTCTCCAGGAGCAGAGTTCACCCTGATTGCATCTCCCTGGCACTGGGGACTTCCCAAGCAGCTTTGTTTGGCCGTTTCCTTTTAGGAAGAGTCTGTTCTGTGCTCACTGCCCTCCCCTTTGCTTCCAGGACGGATCAGTACTGCCTAGCTGGGTGTGTTCCAACTGCCAGGCACAGTACGACTCTGACTCCATAGAAATGGCCTTGGTGGAAGCCCTGCAGAAGAAGCTGATGGCCTTCATGCTGCAGGACCTGGTGAGCACCGGACTGCTGTAGGGGGGCAGACTGACCTTGCAAACAGCATGGAGGCGTTGGTCCCACACGTCTCATCAGCCTGTGGCAGCACTTCCCTGTCTTTGTGCCACTCGTGTGCCTAGCAGAGGGCTGGGTGTCTCATCCTGCCCCACCTAAAGCTCCTTTGCCTCTTAGGTGTGCAAGAAGTGCCACGGCGTGAAGGACACACACATGCCTGTGTACTGCAGCTGTGCTGGAGACTTTGCCCTCACCATCTCCTCCCAGGTAATCCTGCAGCATGCTGCCTGGCCCACTCCCATGCTGGTGGCTCCCTCCATGGTAACCATCCTACTGGGTTAGGGTTAGGATGCCAAACCCTCCTGCCTTTCCACTGTCCACTGTGTGAGCTTCCCTTCTCCCTCCTCCCTCAGACCTTCATGGAGCACATCACCATCTTCCAGAACATTGCCCGGCACTATGGCATGGCCCACCTGCTGGAAACCATCGAATGGCTGCTGCACACCAACCCCCAGCTCCAGCAATGAGGCTGCACTTGCATCCTGCATCTGGGGTTGATTAGGAACTGCTGGGTGCTGCACCAACAGGTGAGGAGCTGTGCTTCCTGCAGCCAGCCCAGCACGGAGCCAGGGTGTGTGGGAGTTGTGCTCCATAGGGATCGTGTGCCCAGGGTGGATGTTAGTGCTGGAGGTGTGACCCAGTGTGCTGGCCCAGCGTGTTTTTAATGTACAATATGTATAAATAAATGTTTTGTTTAAAGCATGCTTGGTTCTTGCAGAGGGGCAGCTGCCCAGGGCCTGGCTGTGCAGGAAGGAGCAGGGAGCTGCCTCTGTTTGCTCCTGGGCTGCAAGCAGAGAGGCTGTGCCCCTCATTTCCAAATGAACCAGGCTGGAGGGGCAGCAGAGCCAGCCCCTAATGTGATTGCTGCTTTGTGCAATTGAGTTAGTGTCTGGCTCAGCCCATACTGCTGGTAACTGCGTCCCAAGGGGCTGCAGCCAGGGCTGGGCAGTGCCTCCCTGGGGCTCAGCCTGAGCACAGAGGGGTGCAGTCACTGCTGTCCTACAGCACGGCCCTGGGACAGCAGCGTGGGGTCCTCCACCCCAGCGGTGCACCCTACTCTGCTCTGGGGTGTTCCCCACAGCCCCCGAGGCTCTGCATGCTGCAGCCCTCCCCTCACCCGCCACTCTGCCTCTCCCCTGAGCCATTGTAGGAGGCTGTGCTGTAACATGAGAGCAGGAAAACAGTGGATTATGCTCAGAAATAATACCCCACTTGGTTACTGCCAGGCACCAGCTGCACAGTGCTGTTGGGCCGGGGCCAGAAGTACTGTGGCTTTGCAGGCAGACTCTGGGCAGGGTTTGTGCCTTGGTGGCAGCCCTGGAGCCCCTCAGCTCCCCTGGCTCTTCTCCCCCAGGCACAGCAAGCAGTGGTTCTTGCATCCTTCCATTGACACAGGCATGCTGAGCAGTGATAGTTTATTGGCAGCAGTAGTGGGTGGCTGTAAGGTGCATTCTGCCCAGCCATGGGCACAGCTCTGTGTGGGAAATGTCAATTTGGGGATGGAGGGGGGATGGTCTGGGGCTGCAGAGGAGCATCCTCAGCCCACTGGTACCTGCTCAAATTTCCTGCTGCTGTACCGCCGCTCCTTGTCCATGCAGCACAGCAGCACCCAGTCGCAGAGGAAGGAGCCCTGCAAGGTAGAAGAGCACAGTGAGGTCAGTGCAGGGCAATGGGCTGAGCCCCCACACCCCAGGACACTCACCAGTCCCACCGAGGTGAGCGCAGTGGCCAACGTGATGACCGTGGGGATCAGGCTGAACTTCCCTGCCTGGCCTTGCACAATCACATCCACACGGATCCCATAGGCCTTGGTCAGCACCCGTGTGCAGGTCCCGTTCCAGCTGTAATACTTGGCAAACCTGGAGGGCATGCAGACTCAGGTGTGAGGGCTGGAGGAAGACACGAGGACGCTGAGGGGATGGGGCTGTCACCTGTAGTTGTAGCCTGGTGATGCCAAAGTCCCTTTGGGGTCGAGGCGACGGAAGGAGTAGCGCGGGTTGCACTCGGTGTCAGGCAGATCCAGGTTGCAGTCCCAGCTGATGATGACACCAATCACCCCACCCTGCAGCAGGGCAGCAGAGCGTGTGCAGCATTAGCAGACTGCAGGCACAGCAGCCCCAGGACGTGGCATCCCTAGGGCAAGGAGCTTCCCAGAAGAGCCACAAGGGAGGGACCCACAATACTGGGGGATGCTGGGGTGAGGCTGCCCTTTGCACTGCACCTTCTCAGCCAGCACTGCAAAGTCCTCGCCTGCCTGCTCAGCCAGGAAGCCCAGCCTGAAGATGGGGCAGTACAGCGCGGAGGTGGCATTGAAGGTGCAGCTCTTCAGGTAGTGGCTCTCGGCAGCCTGAATGTTGGCCCTGGGGAGAGCAAGGCAGGGAGCTGTGAATCAGGGGAGGGGGTAGACTGCTGCCGGAGCGTCTGCAGAGGTCCCAGCAGGGATTTGCTGTGCCATGCAGCATCTCTGCTGCTGCTGTTGCCGCAAAGGCTGCTGCCTGGATCCCAACCATCAGCCCTGGAACCTGCAGTGCTCACTTGGAGAAGCCGAAGCGGGGGAATCGGATGTGGTTCTTGATGAGGATGGTGAACTGTGCTGCCATCTCCGCCAGGGACTCACTGGGAACAGAGAAGTGAGCACAGAGCACAGCAGCTCCCATCCAGCCTCACAATAGGGACACTGCTGCTCCTTATCAGGCATCCCCAGGTGGGGGCTGTGCACAACCCCTGCCAGCACGCTACCTGTACCCGCTGCTGCCTCCATGGAGAGGGCACCAGGCCAGAACCTCGCAGCTCCTCCCACTGCCCCCAGGCACGCAGCGCCCCGTCCTCACACCTGCAGGGTAGGGGACAGGCACTCAGCATTGGGTCCTGCCTGAGGAGGGGCAATGGGCTGTGCCTCCTGGACTCACCATGGTGGGATGCATCCATGGCCCCAGGGACACAGTCCTGCTCTGAGTGGCATGGAGCGCTGGGACCCTGCAGGGGGTGGGGATTGGGATGGCAATGGGGTTGGGATGGGAATCAAGAAGGAGATGGATGGGGATGAGATGGGAATAGAGGAGGAGATGGATGGGGATGGGATGGGGATGGGTTTTGGGATTGGGATGGTGTTGTGGATGGGGTGGGAAAAGAGAAGGAGATGAATGGGGATGGGAATGGCAATAGGGATGGTTGGGTGGGCGCACAGCCGTTCACCTCCTCCCATGGGGAGCAGCTGTGCTCACTGGTGCCCCCCCCACCCCCCTCAGTTGCCAAGCACCGCTTGGTCCCCGCATACCACCCTGCCCTGTGCCCCCCGTGCTCACCTCATGGCACGTCCCCATGGCCTGGGCAGCGCTCACCTCCACCCGTGTGAGGATGCTGAAGCTGCTCCCACCCTACAGAGCAGCCCAGGGAGAGGACAGCGCTCACAGCACAGCCAGGAGGAGCCGAGCATCACCGGGGCAGCAGAGTGAGAGCTCACCTCGGGGGGGGCCACGTACTCCCCAACATCCCAGACCTTGCTGGGTGACTGCGTCACGCCCTTGACTTTGGTGATGACGGAGCTCTCCGGACCCGTTTCTCGCTCCTGGTAGCCCTTCTGTACGATGAACACATACCTGCGGGGATCGGGACAGGGACAAAGACAGAGACAGGTATCAGAGCTGCCAGCACAGCGAAGCGCAGAGTCAGATAAGATCAGTTCCTACCCCATCCCATCCCACTCACCCGATGAAGTAGAGCAGCACCAGGAGCTGCAACGCCCGATACGCGGTGCCGAGGAGCCCGTCCCTCACCACCACCACCTGCGGACTGGAATAGCTGCTCACCGCCCTCCGGCAGCCCGGCCCCATCACCGCTGCGCTCCGCCCGGCACGGCCCGACCCCGCAGCGCTCCCTGCGGGCTGCGGGATGGCTGCGGATGGAGGCTCGGCTGCACATGGCGCAGATCCGTCGGCGCGGAGCTGAGCCGGGAAAGGCAGCAGAGCGTGTTGCAGCCCGTGGTTGTACCCGAGGGTTAATGATTCACGGCACGGTGGGAGAGCCCAAAAGCACATCGGTGTAACAGTCAGCGGTGATGGTTGTGCAACAGTCGGACGCAACACACCCAGCGTTAAGCAAACCCGGGATTTTGTTTCCTGGTGAGCTGCTCACCTCCCGGAACGGTGAGGGCACAGCGCAGCGTTGGTCCTTCCCAGCAGGAGGAGGGGATGAGCTCAGAACACCCGTGCTGCGTTTCCCAAAATCCGAAGGTGCAACAGAGGTGCAACAAATGAGCACCTCCCGGGAACACCGAAGTTTGACCGGAGATGCAGAAAGCGATGGGAATTCCAACCGCACACCCTCCTGCAGGAACACGAGTGGGTTCGGGTGCCTTTACCCGTGCTCTGCTCGTGCCTCGGGGCTCTGATTCCCCTCTGGCAGCAAAACAAGGGCGGGGCCACGGGCCGTACCGCCAGCACAGGACGCGGCCGCTCAGCTGTCCCCACACGGCCCCCAGCACAGTGCCACCTCCCCGGCCCGGGCAGCCCATTGGGATGCACTGGGCGCAGACAAGCGTTCGGCCCCGTGCCGGCCTTGGCCACGGCCTTGGCCACGTCAGCGGAGCCGGGAGCCCGACGGGAGCGACGCGTGGGGCCGCGGGGTGAAGGGCAGAGCGGTGGCGGCCGCGGTGCCGTTATCTCCCAGACGAAGCCAAACTCGGCGCTCCCTGGCGCGCTCACGGTTGGCCGTGCGAGCACAGCCTGGGCACGGGGCGCCGGCTGCACGTGAGGAGGTCAGGGGACGCGCAGCCCCCCCCGGGCCCGTCGCGGAGCCGGGTCCCCCCAACCGCTCGGCGACCCCGCGGGCGCCGTGTGGCGGCCGCAGGACTTTTGTGACTCAGAGGGCAGCGCGGGGCCGTCGTGGCACGGCGGACTCTGCCCCCCGCGTGCCACCGCGGAGCCCCGACGGAGGGCGGCGATGCTCCGCGCGGCGCCCCCCCGCCTCCCGCAGTCCCGGCCCCGCGCCGAGCGCCGCGCGCACGCAGCCGCCCCGCACAGGGACGCGCCACGCGGGGGGGCTCCCGCGCTCCGGGCGGGGAGGGGCGGGGCCGAGCGCGGCGCGGACCAATCGGAGCGCGGAGCGCCGGCGGCGGCGCGGGCTTAAAGGCGGCGGCGGTGACGGGGGGCGCGCGCGGGATGTGGGCGCGCGCGGTGCTGGCGGGAGCGGCGCTGCTGGCCGCCGCGTGCGCGCGCGCCTGGCCCGGCGGAGCGGTGTGCGCGCGTCGGGTGGCGGCGGGCGGCGCGCGCTACGCGGCCTTCCTGAGCGCGGGGCCGGGGCCGCCCGCGTTGGTGGAGGGCGCGTGGGGCGGGCGCGGAAAGCTGCGGGGCTGCTGGGCGCGGCGGGACCCCCGCGCGATCCGCGCCTTCCTCGCCTCCTGCGCCCGCCGCCCGTCCGCCGCTCCCGCGCCCGCGCTGCGCCGGGACGTGGCCGCGCTCTGGAGGCGGCGGGCGGCGTGCGCAGAGCCGACGCCGCACCGCGGGAACCGGAGGCGGAGGAGGGGTTGGACGGTGCCGGGGACGCTGTGGTGCGGGGCCGGGGATTCGGCCGGGAACTCCTCCGAGCTGGGTACGGGCCGGGGCGCCGTGCGGGGCCGCGCGGGGCGGGGCGGGCACTGAACGTCGCCGCCCGCAGGTCTGTTCCGCGGCCCCGACCGCTGCTGCCGGGAGCACGATCGGTGCGGGACGCAGATCGAGGCGCTGCAGTTCGACTTCGGCATCCGCAATTACCGCCCGCACACCGTCAGCCACTGCGACTGCGACGCCGCGTTCCGCCGCTGCCTGCGGGCTCTCAACGACACCATCTCCGACCTCATCGGCGTCACCTTCTTCGACCTCCTGGAGGTGCCGTGCTTCGTGCTGAGGCGCGCCGAGCAGTGCGTGCGCTGGCACTGGTGGGGCGGGTGAGTGCGGGGCCGCGGGAGCCGCGGGCTGCGGCCGTCGGGCGGGTCCTGATGCGGTGCCCGCAGCTGCGAGCGGTACGCGGTGGTGCCGGTGGCCACGATGGTGCGGCAGAGCCCCTACGGCACCGCGCCCGCTGCGGCCGTCGGGAGCTCCGCGTGCGGGACGCAGCCCGGAGCCGTCGGAGAGGCGGAGCGGTGTGAGACCGGGCCGGGGAGCGCCGCGGGAGGACGGAGGGGTGAGTGCCGGATGGGGACCCGAGAGGGCGTCCCCGGGCCGAGCGCTTTCGGTCCGATCGCCGCTCTCTGCCCTCAGGGCTGGGGAGGCTGTGCAGAGCCTATCGGCACCTGGATCGCTGCGAGCACCGCATCGCGCCCCGCGAGACGAAGTACGGGCTGCGGAACGGCGGTGCGCGGACGCTCTTCCACTGCAACTGCACCCGCAGGTGTGTGCCGTGGGGCGGCCCTTCCGTCCTTCCGTCCGTCATCGCTCAGAGCGGGGCTGGAGAGGGGGGACGGGCGGGGTGCTGAGAGCTGCCTCGCTGTCCCCGCAGACTGGTGCGGTCCCTGCGCAGGACGAAGGGCTCCGGGGGCGCGGAGCCGCCGCTCCTGGCGGAGAGCATCGCCGCGCGCTGCTTCGTGTTGGAACCGCAGGTCGAGTGCGGAGCGGAGCTCCGGAGTGGGTGAGTGCGGAGGGAACGGGGAAGGGCCGGAGCTGGCGGTGCTTGGTTCGCCGCAACGCTCTCTGTTCTGTTTCTCCAGCAGCTGTGACGCCGCGGCACAGGCCGTGCTGGTACCCGCACGGCACCTGAGGATCACGCTGCGGCGCCGCGGTGCTGAACGTCGGGAGTGGAACGAGCAGGAGGGCGGCGGTGATGCTCTGTACGAACGGTGCCGGCGGGTGGCCCTGGAGCAGGGGATGGGAGCCCCGCAGCACCTCGCGCCCCGCTGAGCCCCAGCGGATGGGCTGTACCGTGCGTGGGGAGGAGCTGCGCTGCGGGGCGGAGCTGCTCTATGTCGGGTCCTTGAGAGAAAGGATGGCACCGAGAGTGGCTGCTGGCGTGACTGCGTGGGGCAGGAAAGGGGTGGAGGAGGCTCAGCTGCCACCCCCAGGAGCTGCGGCTGCCATCAAAGCAAAGGGAAAGGAGAGGGGGCAGGAAAAAGCGATCGCCACCCGGCCCCTGAAGGATGCTGCGGGCGTGGGAGCCCCGGGCAGGACGGTGCCAGGATCCCCACCCCCGGTTTTGCCCCTGCAGCAGGAGGGGCTGGGGCGAGCCAGGTTCCTCCCCGAGCTCTAGAGGTGGGAGCACAGTGCCGTGCCTCTGAGGGTCAGTGCCTGCGTGTGGCACAAGGCAAATAAAGGGCAGAGTGACACGGTGCGTGGTGCTGGGGTCCCTGCATTCCCCACGGCCCCCACCCTGCAATAAGCACAGTGCAGCTGGGGCAGGCGGGATGCTTTATTTTGTTGCTCACACTATGTCCAAGCCCGAGGCACAGTGGTAAGGGCAGGAAAGAAGCAAGCTCCCATCTGCAGGGCGCCCGCAGCAGTGCTGTGCCCCGGGGGGAGGGGGCAAACATCCTCACTTGCAGCACCATCCCTGGCCCCCAGCACCCCCCAGCCCCCTCACCTGCCCTAGGACTGAGTGGCCCGCAGTTCTGACACACACGAAGGGATCCCTCACCACCACCCCCTCCCCTGTGCCCCCTTTGCAGCCCCGGGAGGAGCAGGGCAGGCAGGCAGCGGGGGTGCAGGGGTGATTCACTGCAATAAATAAGGGAGAGGGATGGCTCACAGCAGGGACGTGGCACGGGAAAGCACACAGCAAGCGCGCTACGGCGAGGAGGGAGGAGGGCACAGCCTCAGCGCCCCATGGGGCAGCTGTAACCATCCAGCTCCCGGGGGCTGCCCCCTTCCTTTGGGGAAGTGCTGCAAGGAGGGCTGGTAGGGCTCATCCTGCGACAGGGATAGCCCTGGTCTGCACTCTCCCTCCGTCGGCCCATGGCTTGGTCAATGGTTTCCAGGCGGAGTGCAGGCAGCAGGCCCAGGTTCCTAGGGTCAGCCCTGGCCAGAGGGTTGTCAACAGCAGCACGCCGGGCAACGCATGGCTCCCGCACAGTCTGGTAGAAGGAACCTGGGCTGCCCTCCTGGCTGTTGGCCACCTGCCCCGATTCCTTGGCTTTGGATCCACGGCGTGCCAGCTCCATCTGGGGCAGGTGGATGGCAGGGATGTCCCCGGTGAGGGCACGGCGGCTCTGGGGTGAGGGGCTGCGGCTGGTGCCCCGGTCACGGCTCGATGGGCGCAGGATGAGACCCTGGAACTTGGCCAGGCTGGGGCTGCGGCTCCGGTGCCGCTTCATCTTGCCCGGGCTGGGGCTGCGGGATTTGGGAGCCAGCAGGACAAGAGTGCTGTCATCCTCCTCCTCTGAGCTGCTGCCCGAGCTGTCCGTAGGGCTGCTGCCCTCCTCGGATCTAGGCAGGGAGATCTGCACCACACATCAGCATTGAGCCCTGACCCACACAGGGTGCTGTGGGGCATTGCAGCAGGACGCCCTGCCCTGCTGAAACCTCCCTCCCCCCCACCCTTCACCTCGAGCCATTGCTGACCTGGAATGGCTCTGTCACACCCACGATGCTGCTGGAGGTGTTGCTGTAGTAGCCAAGGATGTACTCTCCCTTCCCTTTGGGCAGCGCTTCCTCTGAGAACATCACCTGCAGCAGATATGCACAGGGCTGAGCACAGGGCTGTTCCCCCAGCCACCCATAGGTGGGCCTGCACTCTGCTCGGTGCCATCCAAAGGCCCAGAGGCTGCTGCTGCCTCACCCCATGGCCCTGACTCCCAGAGTTGCTCACCTGTGCACACAGCTGCTTCTCTACGCAGCGCTCTCCATCATCACTCCTGGCCCAAACATAGGACACATAGTCTTTAGGATGCCGAAAACCCACCTGTGGAAGAAGGGAGTTGAGCTGGTGCTGTTGCTCCTCTCTCAGCCCCAGCAATAGCTTTGGGTCATATGGAACCCACAGAGTGGGAGAAAGAGAAGTGCTGGATCCACAGTGCAATGTGGCCTTCCCAGAATGGGAGAGCCCACACTCAGGCCATTCATCAGCACCTGTGGCAGTGGGCAGCCACAGAGGGGATCAAATCACACTGCCAAGGACCCCAGCCCCTACCCGGTAGAGGCCAATCCAATCCCAGGAGCTCCGGTGAAAGCCAGCAGCCATCTTGTACTTGACAACTGCTTGCTCAGGCCTGATCCACTCATCAGCCACAAAGATCTCCACCGGGAGCTTATCTGCCTTGGAAGCAAACTGACAGAGACATGCAGATGGTGGGTAAGAGCAGGTGGGAACAGAACCCCCACTATCCCCAGCCGTAGTGGCGAGATAGCAGTCCTATCTAGCAAAGAAAGAAAGCCACACACAGGGCACACATTCACCCAGCACAGCTGTGGCCAGCAGCCCTGGCAGGTGCTCACCTGCACAGCAAAGATGGCAGCTACAGGCTTGTGGTCGCTGACCATGTACTCCATGTGGCTGCAGTAGCAGAGCTGGCTCACCGACAGCACACCCCGGCTGGGCCGGCGCCCGCCCGCACCAGAGCTGGGAGATTTGATCTTCCAAAGGATGCGGTCAGTCCAGGCGGGTTTTCGCTTCTTGGCACTGCAGGGCACAGAGGGGCATCTCTTGCCTGGCAGGGGGGCAGTGGGCTCCACCCCAACCTGCCTCCCCCTGGCACTACGGAGCACGCAGGCAGGGGATGCGGCTCGTCTCGGCGCACAGCTCAGTGCAGCTGCAGGGACAGACCTGCACTGGCACCAGCACAATGGCTGTGTCCCAGCCCACTGCCCTCAGCCCACAGCCCTCCCTCCGAGACCCCCCCAAAAACCTCAGCCGTGCCACCCACCCCCAGCATGCACTCCGCTGCCCTACCTGCTGTCGTACTTGTTGGTGCCCACATCAAACTTGAATGTGGGGGGGAAGTTGAGGGGTCCCTCCTGAAAGCCGCTCAGGACCGGCCAGGTGCTTTTGGCAATGTTTAGCTGTAGGAAGGAGAGCAGCAAGGCTCCATGGCCCCAGCTCTTCCCAACACTCCCAGAAAGGAACTGCTGATGTGCACAGCTCCAATGGAAAATACCCTGAGAGAACGCTGCCTGCCACTCCTCAAGGAGCTGGAAGAGCCTGTGCCCTTTGTGCCAAGTGGCATGCAGCTGCATGGGCACTGCTGGTAAGTGCCCAAGAACACCTGGCAGTGAACCTGGCCCACTCACCTGGTCCTTCTCCCAGAGCTGGCTAAGGATGTTGCTGTCAATGGCATATTTGACGAAGCGGATGTCGAGGCTCTCAATGCGGAAATTGAGGTCCCCAAACCAGAAGACGAGGCTGCGGGCAGGAGGGCAGTGAGCAGCAGGGCCCAGGCATCAGCACCAGCAGGGTAGGAACCAGTCCCAACCCTTGAGGGTGCCAGGAACTGCAGCAGGTCTGGATGTGCCCCAGGAGCAAACAAGGGCTCCTTTTAACACTTATTGCACTGCATCTCACTGGACCAAGGGACAGCTCTGCAGCTCTGCCATCCACACCCCACCTCCAAGCTGTGCTCGGATTCAGATGCCAGATCCAAACCCCTGTCAAGGCACAGGGCTGGTCCCACAGCATCGGCACAGAGCAGTAGGCAAAACAGTGAGGTACTCACTCATGGTCCAGGATGCCACTGGCTGCCCTTCCCTCAAACTGCTGCATGTGCAGTATGGTGGCAAAGTCCTCCTTGCGCTGCTCCGCCTTCTCTAGGTGTGCTGGCAGGTGGCAGTTCAGGAAGCACACCATGTGCCCAAAGATGGAGAGACGGACGCTCACCCCTCCTTTGTTGCCCTGCCACAATTGGATGCTGTGAGACCCGAG